TCGTGTGCAGCGTCGCTCCCGCAAATGATGATTTGACGTCGTCGGAGGCCGCGGCGGCGAACGGGATTTTACGGAGGAGTCTTTCGGCGACGTCGAGGAGTATTCGGCGGACGTTTGGGTGGTTGAAATCGGCGTCTTCGAGGACGACGGCGTCGAACTCGGAGTCCGTGGCAGAGTTCACTCTGCCGGCTCGCGAGGCGAGGAGGATGAAGGCCAAGCTTCAACGGACGAGATCGAGCGCGCAGAGAGCTCTCAATGGGTTGAGATTCATCAGCAAGACGACTGCCGGAGGAAGTGACGCGGCGGAGCAGTGGCAGCAAGTGGAGGCGAGGTTCGAGTCGCTCGCCAAGGACGGCATGCTCGCCAGTGCAGACTTCGGTGAATGTATAGGTATATTAAGTGCTCATAGAAGTTTAATTAATTGATCTTAACTAAGTTTAATAAGTTAACATTGATTGACATTAATTTAATTTGTCTGTTTGGTTCCCGGGAAAATTGCGAGGGAAAAAGATTAATGAATATTTTGTATAAATGAAGGGATGGGGGACTCGGAGGAGTTTGCGGTGGGGATATTTGATGCATTGGCGAGAAGGCGGCGGCAGAAGATAAGCAAAATTACGAAAGAGGAGCTTCGCGACTTTTGGTTGCAGATTTCCGACAACAGCTTCGACGCGCGCCTTCAAATCTTCTTTGACATGTAGGTTTCTCACTCTCATTTCTCTATTTTCTCAGCCGTTGATTACGTTTCTCTGATTTTGCTTCCAACAAATCCACCGTCCAAGCAGACGGAGCTCTAATTCTAAACTAATGTAATACATCTTAAGGTGACTGAAACTTGAATACAAGCCGCATGCACCATGGCTAACTGACCTAACTTATGTTTTCTTTTTTCTTTTCTTTTGATATTTTTAACTTTTATATTACCGTGTTAGTGAAGGGTGCTAAAGTCAATAACATGCAGATGCTTGTCATTCCATGTATGCATGAGTTTCACATAATTTTATGGTCAAAGGTTGTTAAGAGCTTACACGCGACAGATCATAGCAGAATTCATTATAGTTGTATCAGTCAAGATCAACTCAACAAATCAAGTGATTGATTCTCAAAAAGGGGTTCACAAGTCACCCCCTTTTGAAAAGTTATAAATCTAATCGTCCTGGAGTGTTTGATTGTATTGTGTTTTGGCATTTTACGTTTTGAAGTTGTGCATTGTGTTGGTGTGAGTTTTGTGTTTAGTTGACCAAAAAGAGAGAACTCTACCCACATAGGTTAAACTATGTTGTGTCTTTGTGTGTTCTATCTACTTCAACCTTTCCCATCTCAGTGCCTCTAAAATATAAGTTAGGTTATTAAATGCTTTTTAACTGCGTGTAGCTTTTGCCTTCTGTTATTTGTGGAAATGTATTTTCTTGGTAATAAAAAGGAAAAGAAAAATGGCTCATGGTCTTTGGTTGGATAGAAAAACAAGAAAGTTAGAGATCTGATCACTTTCCTTGGGTGTTTAGTTGGTAAAAGGTTGTTTTCTTATTAAATTTTTTGGATTTAATTTTCAGGGCGGATAGCAATGAAGATGGAAGAATCACAAGGGAAGGAGTTCGAGAGGTAAAAATTGTTCACTGCGGTAAAAGTAAAAAAAAATCCCATCAGTTTCTAATGGAGTTTCGTTTTGTTTTGTTCAATTACAGCTTATAATGCTCAGTGCTTCTGCAAACAAGCTACCTAAGCTGAAAGAACAAGCTGAAGATTATGCTTCATTAATAATGGAAGAACTTGATCCCGAAAACTTCGGTTACATTGAGGTAAAATTAATACAACCTTCAAATAAAAGCCGTGACTGTCACACCGTCACATGATATTATTAATTCACTCATATTATAAACGTTGACAGTGTGACAATCACATTTAAAAGTGTCCTCGTCTTTGTGGAATTCCAAATCAGACAATTAATAATGTTTTACCATTTACTCAGTTATGGCAATTGGAAGCATTGCTTCTACAAAGAGACGTGTACATAAACTACAGCAGACCATTGAGCACAGCAAGTGTATCTTGGAGTCAGAACCTCAGTTCCTTGAAGCCCAAGAATCTGGTCCGGAGACTGAGCCGTTCACTTCAGTGTCTCGTACTCGAGAACTGGCAGGGCAGTTGGATTCTACTGCTGTGGGTTGTTGCAATGGCTTCCCTTTTTGGCTGGAAATTCTACCAATACAGAAAAAATAGGGCTGCATTTCAGGTCATGCACTATTGCTTGCCAGTGGCCAAAGGGGCTGCAGAGACTCTGAAGCTTAACATGGCTCTCATCCTCCTACCGGTTTGTCGAAACATGCTGACATGGCTTCGATCCACAAGAGCTAGGTGCTTCATCCCTTTTGATGACAACATTAATTTCCACAAGGTATAAGCGCTAATCTTCAGTAAATCGGGGATACTAAATAGACAATAAGTCGTATTAAACTACAATTTAGTGCCTTTTTTTTGTCTATTTGTAGCCAGTTCTATGTGTTTTTTTTTTTCTTAAGACACAACAATTTGACATTTTGTTTGCATTGACCTTATTTTACCACAGATAATTGCATTTGCTATAGCAATTGGAATAATCATTCACGCCGGGAACCATCTGGCATGCGACTTTCCTCGCATAGTAAACTCATCGCCGGAAAAATTCGCACCGCTATCCTCAGATTTCCACAACAAAAAGCCCACCTACGAATTCCTACTCACCGGAACTGAAGGCACGACTGGAATTTTGATGGTGATTTTAATAGCCATCTCATTCACTCTAGCAGCGCGTAGATTTCGGAGGAACATGGTGAGGCTTCCTGCTCCATTCAACAAGTTGACTGGGTTTAATGCGTTCTGGTATTCTCATCATCTGCTAGGTCTTGTCTACATATTGCTAATCATACATGGAAGCTGCTTGTATTTAGCCCACAAGTGGTACGAGAAAACGGTAAGAAACTTGAACAATAACACAGTAGCAAATTTCATGTACTTTTTAACTGATTGCATCAAGTAATAAATGTTTTCCTACTTAGCAGACATGGATGTACATCTCTGTTCCATTGTTGCTCTATGTGGCCGAACGCAGTCTGCGAACATGTAGATCGAAGCATTATTCTGTTAAGATGTTAAAGGTAAGAAAAATTTACTCAAATCTGTTCATATTTTTTTTTTGTCGACTGTTCATATACATTGCGATCGTTGATTTCTGACTGTGTGAACAGGTTTCGGTCCTACCCGGAAATGTGATTAGCTTAATCATGTCCAAACCACCTGGATTTAAGTACAAAAGTGGGCAGTACATATTTCTACAATGCCCTACAATCTCCTCATTTGAATGGTGAGTCTGATTCTTATACAACTTCGTCTATCATGAAACGTAAATTAGAAGAAGCACCCCGACAACTATAAATACTAAACCTCTCGATCCTTTATTATTTACAGGCATCCATTTTCCATTACCTCAGCGCCAGGAGATGAGTACCTCAGCGTTCACATCCGAACAGTAGGAGACTGGACTCGAGAATTGAAGCGAGCCATAGCGGAGGAAGATGATTCATCCCCTGCAGAACATTCAGCAAGATTTGTTCAGATGCGAAATCTGGATCGGAGAGGGTATGAACACACCTAACCAATATTTCACCTTCCGAGGTTTAGGTTCAGTATATGCATGAGATTATTAACGTTACATGCAACATCAATGCAGCCAACCCAGATTGTTTATCGACGGTCCATATGGGGCACCAGCGCAGGACTACCAGAACTACGATGTCTTGCTCCTCGTGGGGCTTGGGATTGGAGCTACCCCTTTCATAAGCATTCTTCGAGATCTCCTAAACAGCACAAGAACAGCAGAAGAACAAATGGTACAGTTCATAACATCCGACTCTTTTGAGTACAAACATTCAGTGTTTCGATAGATTTTTCCGTTCTGATAATTAAGTTAAAATGCATTGATCATGAACTAGGATTCAAATACAGAAACTAGTAGATCAGACGACAGCCAGAATAGTTTTACGTCTTCAAGTTTGACGCCCGGTGACAAGAAGAAATCGCAGAGGACTATGAATGCACACTTCTATTGGGTTACCAGAGAGCCTGGCTCTTTTGAGTGGTTTAAAGGAGTCATGGATGAGGTTGCAGAAATGGATCACAAAGTAACGAATTAACTTCTTTACCACTTTACGTCATAATTTTCTTCGACCTCGATGATGCGCTACTGCTAAGTTACTAGTTTGTTAACCTTCTTTCTTGTTACAGGGTCAGATTGAACTACACAACTATCTTACGAGTGTCTACGAAGAGGGTGACGCTAGGTCGACTCTAATCACCATGGTCCAAGCTCTAAACCACGCCAAACATGGCGTCGACATCCTATCTGGCACCCGAGTATGATCCTCATCGCCGTTTCAGTTGACAAGTACGGTAGATTGTGTTCTTAAGCAGTTACTGACCTTTCAAACATTGAATTATGCATTGCAGGTAAGAACTCACTTCGCAAGACCGGATTGGAAAGAAGTGTTTACCAAGATAGCTTCCAAGCATCCGTATTCAACAGTAGGTAAAGATATTCTACCACAACCGAATTTTTATGTTAAAAACATAAACCCTAATCATGCATCTAGTAGAGAACCGAAACAAAGAACCGAGAGATTAAACGAATCAGCTAATTTGCAGGGGTATTCTACTGTGGGATGCCGATGTTGGCAAAGGAGCTGAAGGTGCTATCACATGAACTCAGTCACAAGACAACGACACGGTTTGAATTCCACAAGGAGTATTTCTAAAACTAGAAGACCACCATCGTCAAAGTACCAAGCAGCGATCTTTTTCTAATCATATGGAGTATCCATAGAGAAAGATAAATATATATGTATAAGGATAGTAGCTTAGAAAGATGTAAATGTAACTGTTTTTCATACATATCCAATATAATACAAAGTTTCCGTAAAACATGGGAAGAAAGATGACCTGGTCGTATTGACAATGACGAAACAAAATTCAAGCGAATATGCACCCAATGTATTGAAATTTCGATGGAAAAACAAGAAAAGGACAACAACCTAGCCTGGAGAGTATGAACAAGTATTCATGGCAGACAATACAAGCAAAAGAGATACCTTTCCGACTTGATATTCAGAATTCATCCGACTTAAATCAGCAGATGCAACAATTCCAAAGTACGGGAACAGAGGCACTGCTGATGGTTAGCTTGTAAAATTTATCATTAACATAATAAAAAACGAGGGGTAACAATATATGTTGATCAGGTCAGAATCGTCAGAAGCAGTGTTAGTATAATCGCGGAAAGCTAATCAAAATTGCACCCTCTAGAGAAAACAACTATTGTTGGAGAATCATTCTTCTATGGAGAACAACGCATTAAATGGATCAGTATAATGCGATCCAGTTGCAATCAATCATCTCTCATCTTCTTGAGAAGTTTGGAAGCCCAACTTCGGACGCGTCGCTTCAGCGTATAACCAACAACAATTCCAGCAACAAAGCAAAGTGTACAAAGCTTTGAGCATGTCCACAGTGAAACCACCTGCCTGCAAGTAGACATTGTAAAAATTGCCAGCATAGTGTAAAAAACAGAAGACAACGGCGGCAGCATCCAATGTTTACAATTAGAGGTCTGCTTACATTCAACAAGCATACATAAGAACAAACTCATGCCTGAGTAATGCATCAACCTCAACTCTTTAAACAACACGCAAAAATCGATTACGGAAAATCATTGAAAGGTACAAAACCCAAGCCTCTAGAACCCTAAACCATGATTGCGGAAATCATTGAGTAAAAAATCCTACAATTTGAGATTTCAAAGACAACTCACAAATCCAAGCCTCCCATCCCAAACCAAACGCTACCCAATTTACAGAGTACCATTAAAATATCCAAAACTTTAGAGGTACCTGGCGGGTCTGTTGAGCAAAATACGAGACTGATCGGAGGAGGACAGAGCGGCGGCGAGACCTTCAGTCCCACGGTGAGGGTCGAAGGAAGCCGAAGCGGAGCCCAATTTTTGGGGGTCTTTTGGGATTTTCCCAATCAACTTCTGCAGACCCTCCATAATTCGAATGCTTCGAGAGAAAACGCAGAGAACCCAGCCCAGAACGCTCTATCCTGTTCACAATTCAGAAACCCAATTAGGAATTCCAATCTTAAGGAGATACGTACTGAGAATTTAGGGGTTTAGGGTTCATTACCTTTTCGATTCGTACTGAGCACGCTTTCTACCCTTCAAAGATCCCAAGTTTATCACACTGGAGTTCTTCTCCCCCTCAATTTTCGCGGAATCACAAAGATTTATGTTTGAGTTTATTCTTCTTTCCTCGGTTTGGGCCAGACAGTTGGGCTTGGACCCAAAAAAGTCATTTGATGTTAGGACCAAGTCGTAGAAACAATCCAATTACAACAACCACGTCATATAATTTATAAAATATTATCTAAATTGATGGTCTCCTTCACATTATTCTGTGAATATGATGTGACGAAACATATAGCATGGGAATTACTTGATCAGGGCACCATAATCACTTAATGTGACGAAGCCACATACTTGTTGCAGGAGGAGGATCACCCAACAAGTAAACACATGTCCCATAGTTAATGACAATTTAATGTCTGCTAGACCTAAAAAAAAACTTGTCATAATTTATCATGCACGTGCACCAACTTGAATGTATTGTGTAAATTCATTAAGTACAAGGAAGGGTTATTCACACTTCAAAATTTTCATTCTACATTCCTTACAAGTGTATTTTTTTTTTCTAATATAGAAAGTTTGAAGTGTAGAATGAGATTTTTGGGATGCTAATAACAATTCCATAAATAAATACATATAATGTAGATGTCGTTCATCACTAAAATTTGATTTACAAACTTTGTGAAGTGGCCACTTAGTACTGCAATCTAGTGATTTTCTCCTTCACTTATAAGTGAGAGTCTTTAATTTCAAATCTGGTGAATGATAAATTCCACACAAATTTATTCTTCCACCCTTTAATGTAAAAACATTGTTGTCTCAAAAAAAATTTATAAGCTGAACTTTGTACCAATAAAAAAAATACTCCCATAGAAATGGTAGTAAAATGCTAAAAAATTTAGTAACACAAGGTTGGGGTCAGCAATCGTCCACAAAAGCCGGTCTATCCCCATCTTCTCCCCAACACCCAACACTCTCCCTCCCTTATCTTCCTCCACCAATTGTGAAAAAACCCACCAGAGAAACAGAGAAACTAAGGAGGACACTTCATATTTCTCTCTGTTTAATTTAGTGCAATCCAATCCAATGGCCTCCCTCTCTGTTCCCAAGCACCCAGCCTTCCCCTCTGTACTTCGCACCCTAACTCCCAAACGCTACCCATCTTCTCAAACCCTCCCAATTGTCTCCAGCTCTTCACATTCCCCGTTCTATGGCCTCAAGTTCTCCACTTCTTCCACTCTGCCAATCCCTTCATCTTCCTCTGGCAAGATGTTCATTTCTGCTAAGGTACATTTTGCTTATATATGTTGTGTTTCGTATTAATGGGTGCATGGATAAAGGCTTTTAATCATTTGAGCTACGAGTCCCTTACGACGGCTGCATTTTTTTTTATTAATTGGTTATGGTTGGTTGGTTTGTGGACAGGTGGACAAGGGTAAGGTTCCTCCAGCCTTCACATTGAAAGATCAGGATGGAAAGACAGTGAGCCTCTCCAAGTTCAAGGGAAAGCCTGTGGTTCTATATTTCTACCCTGCTGATGAGACCCCTGGCTGCACTAAACAGGTTCGAATTAACCACATTGTTTAGCATGTTCTAATTCCACTTATTTTGAAGTTTGTTTATGCTTAATATGCTTATCCTGGATTAGTTTTGGCCAATGACTTCTGCTATCTGTCTGGTAAATTTTCGATTGTTATGATATGAAATATGTATTGGAGCTGATAATGCCAGATAGATTGTGCCTTTAGTTAGTGCAGACACTGACAATTTGATACTCCTCTAGGCTTGTGCTTTCAGAGATTCTTATGAGAAGTTTAAAAAGGCCGGTGCCCAGGTTGTCGGGATTAGCGGTGATGACCCCTCATCACACAAGGTAATGTGAAAGTTGTGTGTGTTTATATCATGTAGTGTCATCACATCTCATCACACAAGGTAATGTGAAAGTTTTGTGTGTTTATATCACGTGGTGTCATCACATTAAGGCTTAGTATATGTTGCTTTCAAAAGAGTTTTTTGGTGATTATGCACAATGATTCTTCAACAGATGTAAGGATAAATTTGCTGGTTTTTCGAATTAATTGAAAATGTAAGCTACTAAGACGTGAGCCAACAATTATAATTTGTGCGTGTTAGTTTTGTATGCATAAGCATTACAAATCAATGCTCGAAGTCGATTACAATTGAAAATGTTTGTAGGCTTTTGCAAAGAAGTACAAACTTCCATTCACATTACTAAGCGATGAGGGCAACAAGGTGAGGAAAGAATGGGGAGTGCCGTCGGATCTGTTTGGGACATTGCCCGGGAGACAGACATATGTTCTGGACAAGAATGGGGTGGTTCAACTCATCTACAACAACCAATTCCAACCAGAGAAGCATATCGACGAAACTCTCAAACTACTTCAAAGCCTCTAAATTAGTTCTCATCTTTTTAGCTGCTTGTGTTTCCATCCCTATGTCCATTATATCTCTACAAAACAGGGTTAGCAAGTAGTTATTTTTGTATAATCCAATCTGGTTATAACTAATGGAAACTATGCCCTATAAGGCAAACAACTGTGATATTTGGTAGCAAGGAAACTCAAGTGAGATGTTATTTGTAAGTCAACTGTGGAAATTTTCAATTGGTATTTTATATTTACTAACGAGATTACAAAAACTGAAGATCAAATACGGATGGCAATAATCTGGTTCTAATTTGTGTATAATAGTCCGTTGAAATTTTTTTAAATGTTAATTTAAAAAAAAAAAAAATAACTCTACCTGTGTAAGTTTATCTTACATTGCCGGTCCCAAGCCCGGGTAAAGGAGGAGGGGGAGGGCGTCAGGTAGTCGACAGCCAGCACTCCTCAATTACGTCGAATCCTTATGAAAATGAATCCAAAACGAAATTGCGCTAAAGCTAGGGCGTCACCCGTAAGTGGCGCGCTGTGTGGCCCGAGCACAGTGATAAGTGAGCAAGGGTCGCTGTATCTCCATCGGCACCCGGATGCAGTGTTAAATGAGCAAGGGGGCCATAAAAACTTCTTTTCGAACGAGTCAACTCAAAGTTGTTTGGGAGCATATGCTCCTATCAACTTTACACAGGACAAACAAAAGAAGAACTTTGATCCTATGGGACGGGGGAGGGTGAAGAAGCTAGGACAGAAGGGTAGAGTTCAAGAGAGTAGAATGCGTTTAGGAACGTGGAATATAGGAACCTTAACAGGAAAATCTATGGAAGTAGTGGAAGTTATGGTGAGTAGAAGGATAAATATTATGTGCCTACAAGAAACTAAGTGGGTTAGCCCTAAGGCAAAGGATCTAGAAAACTCAGGGTTTAAACTTTGGTATTCGGGCACAAATAGAACGAGAAACGGTGTTGGCATCATCGTGGACAAGACCTTGACACAAGATGTTGTAAATGTCAAGAGGGTAGGAGATAGAATCATGGCAATTAAGATTGTAATAGGACAAGAACTCATCAATGTGATTAGTGCGTACGCACCTCAAGTAGGGTTGGATACGAGTTCGAAGGAGAAATTTTGGGAAGACCTTGGAGACTTGGTGCAAGGATTTGCCCAGACGGAGAAGTTATTTATAGGAGGAGATTTAAATGGACACTTGGGCAGGGAGACAGGCAACTATGGAGGTTTTCATGGTGGCCATGGTTTTGGGGAGAGAAACGAGGATGGGGAAGCTATCTTGGATTTTGCAATGGCATATGATCTCTTCTTAGCCAACACCTTCTTTAAGAAGAGAGAAGAACATGTGATCACCTACAAGAGTGGGTCGTCAAAAACACAAATAGATTTTCTTCTAATGAGGAAAGGGGATCGTATAACTTGTAAGGATTGCAAAGTTATACCGGGAGAGAGCTTGGCTAATCAACATCGCTTGTTGGTGATGGATGTACATATCAAAAGAGTGAGAAAAAAGAACAAGACTTGGAAGTGCCCAAAGACTAGATGGTGGAATCTAAAAGGAGAAAAACAAATCATTTTCAAAGAGAAAGTAATCACCCAGTGTGGGTGGGATAAAGAGGGGGAAGCTAGCCAAAGGTGGGATTCCATGGCTAGTTGTATCCGAAAAGTAGCAAAAGAGGTATTATGAGAGTCCAAGGGCTTTGCTCCACACCAAAAGGAATCTTGGTGGTGGAATGAGGAGGTACAAACAAAGGTGAAGGCTAAGAAGGAATGTTGTAAAGCCTTATATAAGGACATGACCGATGAAAATGGTGAAAGGTATAGAAGAGCGAAGCAAGAGGCGAAGAAAGTTGTGAGAGAAGCTAAGTTAGCAGCTTATGACGACATGTATAAGCGACTAGATACCAAAGAAGGAGAGTTGGATATCTATAAACTAGCTAGAGCAAGGGAAAAGAAGACAAGGGACTTAAACCAAGTAAGGTGCATCAAGGATGAGGATGGAAATGTTCTTGCTACAGAGAATGCGGTCAAAGACAGATGGAGATGTTATTTTCATAATCTTTTCAATGAAGGACATGAAAGGAATACTTCTTTAGGGGAGTTGAGTAACTCAGAAGAGTGTAGAAACTATTCCTTTTATCGTCGAATCAGGAAGGAAGAAGTGGTTGTAGCTTTGAAGAAGATGAAGCATAGAAAAGCAGTGGGCCTAGACGATATACCGATCGAAGTGTGGAAAGTCTTGGGAAAGACAGGTATAGCATGGCTCACTGATCTTTTCAATAGGATTTTGAAAACGAAGAAGATGCCAAATGAGTGGCGAAAGAGCATTTTGGTGCCTATCTACAAGAATAAGGGCGACATACAAAATTGCATGAACTATAGGGGTATTAAGCTAATGAGTCATACAATGAAGCTCTGGGAGAGAGTCATTGAGCATAGATTGAGGCAAGAGACACGGGTTTCGGACAACCAATTCGGGTTCATGTCAGGGCGCTCAACCATGGAGGCAATATATCTCTTACGAAGATTGATGGAAAGATATAGAGATGGGAAAAAGGATTTACACATGGTCTTTATAGATTTGGAAAAAGCGTATGATAGGGTCCCAAGAGACATTCTTTGGAGGATTTTAGAGAAGAAATGAGTACGAGTAGCATATATCCAAGCTATAAAGGATATGTATGAAGGAGCAAAGACTGCCATAAGAACTCATGAAGGACAAACCGAAAGCTTCCCCATAACTGTAGGATTACATC